CCCGCGTACGGGCCCCCCAAAATTTTTCCCGCGCAAATTCATAACTCGGGGTTCTGAGAAGCTAAAGAGCTGAAATCTTAGGGTTGTGTTCCCTGTCTATGTGAGTATCAACGAGTTCAAACCCTGCCCGTGGGTAAGTGTGGTACCTACGTACAGGTCCGTGAAAAGTCCCTTCCGGGTAAGTTACTTACTCGAGAACGTGAAAAGCTAGAAGACTGCAATTTTGAGGGGATATGTTTCCTGACAGTTCTGGTGGCCAATCTGAAATCCTTTCAGCTAGAAGCATCTGACGAAAAACCGATGCCGGTAGCGACAAGCGGGGAACTCTGCAAAAAACGCATCTTCGCACGGGCAGCCCGTGCATTGGCCATTTATTTACCTTCAAAAAACGATTCTTTATGACGGGGCTTTGTCTAGCTCATTAATAATGTACTATGGAAAAAGAAAAGGAACTGTTAGGAGTGCGACATTTAACTATGTGTGAGGAAAACTAACATAGAGGGTCTAAATGGCTGATTCACAATTCCCAAACTAAAAATCTCACAAATTCGGGCAGTATGTAGTCATCGCTTGGATCAATGATCATCCTAGCACAGCCCGGTTCGGTTTCCTTTTTGTGGCGTTTCCATACACTGAGATCACACTGCTGATGCGCATGGATCAACCTTTACACCAGTAGTGTGCACACGGCTGTATATCAGTATATCGTATGTTTAGATCATTTTTATCAGCAGCGTCCAATCAGGCTCGATCATTTGCAACAATCACCGGTGCCGACGACACGTCCGGAATCGTTACCAACGGGTCCAATATACGCGGAAACATCCACTTCAGTATTCAGTCCATCTGGAGGTGAAGGGACTGCTGCTCTTGGGAAAGATGATGATGAAGTAGCATCGACAAGTAGCTCGCAGAACGGTTCTTCTGCTCCAATGGTACCTACAACAACCTGCACGGTGTGCGATAAAAATTCTTCACATGCGGCTGCACTGGAAGTCCACACGGGGTTAGTTTCCGACAGAACTCAACTTTCCTGTGCGTCCTCTTAGACTCAGGCCAAGAATAAGTGCAATATTAAGGAGTACGCATTGTAGTAAAACTAATGCGAACTGTCAAGAGCTATTCCCTGCCACAAGTAAATGTAATGCATGCCTTGAGAGGTTTGGTGTTTTGACGTGATTTATTGGGGTTTGCGAGACAAAGTGTTGCAAATAGTCATTTATATATGTTAACTTAAAATGCAATCTACAAAATGAAAAAGAAGGGGTTGGGACATCCATGCAGTTAGTAGTTGGCATGCCGCGCGCGCAATCAAGTATTTAGGAAAATGTGTGATTCGGTTAGAAGTCGCAATTGCAATCAAGACGACGGTGTGAAGCAGATGTATGTCAAGCAGAGGTGCCTCTCGAATAGATGTGTGCACCCAGTAAGGACAGGTGATAAGTAGATGTGCCTATGAACTAGATATATATGTGGA